AGATTTCTCCTACCTTAAGGTCCTCTGAGTGGAGGAATGAGTTCTAACTTCAACAGCAACACTTCTGTGTGGAGCAGCATCTGTGTGTGCTCTGACCTGGTACTCTTGTCCTCTGCTCATCTAGCTCCTCCTGCATATCAGGGCCTGAAATGAGAAGGGGTGAAGAACAGCTCGTGGAAATGATATGCCAAAATTGAGTGATGAGTTGGTGACACAACAGTGAATAAACCTCTGTGTTCTTCAAAGCTGGAAGTGTGTTTACCACACACTTGTGTCTCTTGGGCAGTAAACGTGATGGGGTGTTACTAGCTGAGTGGGGGCATAAAATTTTGGTCTTGACTGATGCTTTGCTGATGACAGACTTAGTCCCTGTTATGAATTCAGTCAAAGTCTTACTTCATTCTAGTTTTTCTCTCAGTGCTGTCTGTATTTTGTGGCTGGATAGTTGGCTCTGCCCTTGGCTGACCCACCAGGGTGGTTTTCCAAGTCCCTTTTGTCAACATAATTCTTCTTAGAGGTAGTTGACCATCCTGTTAACATGGCCCAGAGGGATACTTGTATATTAAATAAAGCCAATTGTAGACTACTCCTACTTGTGTTTTGAAGGGCTGTTGTCATTATTACTGCTCTCCTTACTTGCTTTCTGCTTCCCTTTCTTTTCCATCCATCTCTGTTACTCTCAATCTCCCTGCTTCTGGAGAACAAAGCCTTTGTGGTGACAGTGTGGTTATTAGCTAAAAATGAGTTTCAGGAACTGATTTTTACCAGGAGAGGAGAGTGAAACACAAGCTTGTCAAGGTTTTTCTCATAACAGTTCCATTGTTGCATCTGTCTGTACTGTATTTTTCATTTTGTGCCTTCTTTGTAGACATCTTTGCTCCATTTTAGTTGCTTGTGCTGCCTTTCTGAGGTAGGTTATCCAGCACAAGAATTGGACATTTTAATCTCATGGTTTCTGTTTTGAGATGAGGCTTTAGGAGAGCCTGTTGTGACAGGACAAGGGGTGATGGTTTTAAAGTAAGAGGGAGATTTAGGCAAGAGAGCAGGAAGATCTTTTTGGCACTAGGGGCCCAGGCTGCCCAGAGAGGTGGTCGCTGCCCCATCCCTGGCACCATCCCAGGGGAGGTTGGCCGGGGCTCTGAGCAACCTGCTCTAGTTGGGGCTGTCCCTGCTCCCTGCAGGGGGTTGGACTGGATGGCCTGGAAAGGTCCCTTCCCACCCAAACCCTTCTATAACATTCTGTGATAGTCTGGGGTGCTGCTTTGTAGCTGGCTTGTTGCCAGGACAGAAGTCATCTTGCTGTAGGTACAACCACAGAAGGAAAAAATATTTCATTTCTTTATTTTTAACATGGTTTCTATCTGTGGTGACCTAAACCAACTGGAGACCTTTCCTTGACTTCCATCAACTTGAATTGAGCCTCTAACTACTTTGAAGACCCACAGTGTTCTGGAGCATTAGAATCATAGAATGGCTGAGGTTGAAAGGGACCCCAGAGACCATCCAGTCCAACCTCTCTGCCATGGGCAGGGACACCCCTCAACCAGACTAGGTTGCTCGAGGTCTCATCCAACCTGGCCTTGAACACCTCCAAGTGATGGAACATCCACCTCTCTGGGCAATCTAGTCCAGAGTCTCACCACCCTTGGACTGAAGAAATCCTCCCTAAGATAGAGTTTAAACCTACTCTCCTTTAGCTTCAAACCTTGTCCTGCTGCTGCACACTCTTGTGAGGAGTAGAGCACTTCTCTTGTGCTCTGTCGTGGTAATTGGTGACAATGGGAAGTGAGAGCAGTGGTTGAGTCAGGCTTCACTGGAGCTGGGCTGCCCTAAGCTCCAAGGCTCTGACTCTGCTAACCCTGAAACCTGGCTGTGAGGTCAATCCCTGGGCACGTGCCACTTACAAGGACACCACTCCCAGCTTGGCTGCCTGCAAATGTGACGTGGCAGAAAGGCCATCAAAAAAACCACCCAACAAATCCCACCAAAACAACCCCAGCCCACCAGAAGGAAGTTCAGAGCATAACAGGTTTGGGTGGTTTTGTTGTTTGTGGGTTTATTTTGATTTTTTTAAGGGCAATAAACAATTGACTGTTCCATTGGTTTCTCAGATGTGTTTGTGAGCTGTATGTTGGTCTTAATAATTAGTTCTGAGAATAACAAACTCATTAGGAATGGGGGAGATGAAAATAGAGCCAAATGGTCAGAGCTGGAAAGGTTTGAATTTCTGTAGCTCATATTTTAGATGATACTTTTCCTGGATGTCTTGCAACCTCTTTAATGTCGTTTTCCTGCTTGCTTTCAGTTCTTCCCTCACTGCTTTCTCATCTCTCAGCTTCTCAGTTTGACAAATGTTGTTCCTGATCTTGTTCTTGCTTTGGTGAAATTGCTGACAGCTTTCAGGGCAGTGATGAATGTCTGCAGCTCCCCTGAAGTAACTGGGGGGGTTAAAGTGCCTTTGGAATTGGGAAATTTGGGGTACATCTCTACCTGCCAAGGGAGGAAGATAAAAAATAGCACTTTACACTTCTGCCAAAGGTTTCCTAGCTGTGTCTGTGCTTCTGAGCCTTCTCTATTTGTAGGTACTGTGACGTGCCAGCTCTGTGGAAAAGGAAATTTGAATTTGTTTTTTTCATACAGTTTAACCATGTTTTTGGGTGGGAAGGGAACTTTCAAGGCCATCCAGTCCAACCCCCTGCAGGGAGCAGGGACAGCCCCAACTAGAGCAGGTTGCCCAGAGCCCTGGCCAACCTCCCCTGGGATGGTGCCAGGGATGGGGCAGTGACCACCTCTCTGGGCAGCCTGGGACAGGGGTCACCACCATCAGCAGCAAACATGTTCCTTCTCTCTAGTCTAAATCTCCCTCTTTTAGTTTAAAACCATCCCCCCTTTTCCTGTCCCAACAAGCCCCACCAAAAAGATTGTCCCCAGCTTTCTGGCAGGCCCCTGGCAGCCCCCAGCAGGTCTCCCCAGCTGGAGCCTTCTCCTCTCAGCTGCCCCAGCCCAACTCTCTCCTGCTGGGCTCCCAGCAGAGGGGTTCCCCCCTCGGGGCATTGCTGGGGCTCCTCTGGCCCCGCTCCAGCAGCTCCCTGGCTCTGCTGTGCTGAGGACTCCAGAGCTGCCCCAGCACTGCAGGGGGGTCTCCCAGAGCTGGCAGAGGGGCAGGATCCCCTCCCTGCCCTGTGCCCACGCTGCTGGGGGGCAGCCCAGTCTGGGGGGGCTCCTGCCCAGCTCCTCACCCCCAGCACCCCCAGCACCTTCTCCCCAGGGCTGTTCTTAATTTTTCTTCACCTTGGTATAATTCTGTGATGTTGTGGCCTAAATTCTGTGGCTTGTCACCAATAGGTAGTGGGAAGGGAGAGGATGGATGGTTCTTGGTGGGACGCAAGAGGAACCCCTGAGATGCTGCTGGAGTTGCAGAGTTGGTGGCATTAGGAGGAGCCTGTTCAGTCCTCTAATTAATACTGTGACACAAACCATTTCTCAAGAGTGAGCAGTAGCCTAGAGACTGGCACAAGTGTAGGCTCTCATCATCCTTGCAGAGAAGAGAATTTCAGAGTTAGGGACTCCTCAGCACAATTTTTCTGGAGGAAGGCAAAAGTGCTGCTTTCTCTTTGAAACTGCTCTGAATTTAAAAAGCCTGAGTGCCCCAGAGCTCCTTCAGGGTCATTCTGGACTTGGAGGCAAAAGAAGCAATACACTGTTGATAGGTGTTCTTTCAGTATACTTAATATTTACTGGTATTAAGGGACCAGACCTTAGCTGAGCTCCTTGTTTCCTCTATCTCCTTGCTTTTCATTTTGAATGTTTAGCTGCCAGGTTTGCTATAAACTTAAATCCTAAACTACAAGCAAGTGTCTTATTTCATGAATAGCATCTTCAGTTCCTAGAGAATGATTTTATTTTTAAAATTTTATAGCTGCCTATGCAAAACATGCTCATTTTAGGTTCTTACAACATCATGAGATTGTAGGAACTGCAGAGGGATGACAGGATTTTTTTTTTTTTATTACCTGTGGACTTTAGATGTTTAACAGAAAAAACAAGTAAACTGGGGGGGATGCAAATGGATAGTGTTAATTTTATGCACTGATTTGTCATTCCTGGTGGCTGTTGTCCACATTTATTCTTAGAATAAAAATAGAAATTAGGTTCCTCAGAGTAGTGCCCACTGGATGTCACCACAGAAGGGCATCAGCAGAGGGGATGTTACCTGTGGCCTGTTCATCTTACTGCATGTTCAGGTCCCATCTGTTACTCTGCTTGTATAAAGTTATTTTCTGTGATTTGAGACTTAATAACCAAGCCTTAAACACTCTCCCTACTTAGAATTCAAAAACACCTTCCAACTACCAGTAGCTGTTGTTCATCTGGTTGTGTTTACTTAAATTTTGTAGCTACATGACCATGCAGCTCTGTGGGTTAGAAGATGAAGCCTCCTAAACTTTTGCAGTCTTCCCATGACATCACTTGAAGGAAATAAAATTTCAGCCATTTTCTCCCCATTTATAAAATTGAGAAGAATGTTTTGGTGGTGTTTCTGTAATGAAAAGATGACAAGGAAATGTCAGTGTCTTTCTAAGTTTTCTACTTGCTAATCTCATTTTGTGGTAAACTGTGCTTTAACTTTTATTTAATGAACTGTATTTTAACTGAATTCTTTTATATATATATATATAGAACCATAGAATGGCTGAGGTTGGAAGGGACTTTAGAGATCATCTCATCCAACCTCCCTGCCATGGGCACAGATGGTTCTCCACTGGAGTAAAACACGTTCAGAATATTTGGAGACTGTTCATTAAATCTGAGCTGTTTGGACAGGGGACACTTGTAATATATTTAAGTTTCCTTTAGGAGTAGAAATAAAGAAATACCACTTAAATGTTTTAAGAGGGGATATGGAGAGAATCATCATGATAGTCAGTCCTGAGAGGGATGAAAGTCCTGAGAGACGGATGAATTGACCTTGATCAGTTGTCACGTGTGTTCTCCTTTAGGTGTCAGCAGTGGACTCCTTGGAGGGTCCCCTCCTGCAGGTGGAGGGTCTGAGTGACCTGAGGCTGGAGCTGCACAGTAAGAAGATGAACATGCACCTGGTCCTGATCGACGAGCTGCACCGTCACCTTTACATCAAGTCCACAAACCGAGTAGGACAACGCAGCAAGGAGAAAGGGAGGATCAGGTGGGTCTGGGGTGGTGCTGAGGGCAGCAGGGCTGGGAGGGGAGAAGACAACATTCTCCCTTTCCTAAAGCAGAAGCTTTCTTGGGAGAATGCCCCAGGCTTACACCTCTCAACCTTTCATTTTTTGGCAAGCACGTTTCTCGTGCTTCTGGCCGTGGAGAGCAGGAAAACTCCCAAAATGTTGGTGCACCTTTGAGCCCGTGAACAGGCTGTTGTTGTTCTTTCACCTCTGCTTAGTGATCCTGTTGGGTTTTTGCCACTTCCCACAGAATTATGATGAGGTCAGTCCCTTTTAGCATTCTTTTCCTTCTCTGATGCATCTACCTCTCCTACAAATGTCACGATCATGAGGCTCAGGTCAGGCCAAGGGAAGAACACAGGGAAAAATTACTCCTCTCTCCTAGCAAATGTCCAAGGCTTAAGAGACTTCCAGCAAACCCAAAGGTTACTAGCTGGAGGCTGCAATATTGAGCTGCCTGATCAGTGTCTTGGCTGTGCTGTGTTTCTAAGGTGTGTTTAAAGATGTTCATACTTCTTCCCTGGCTGCTGCCTCTGATCAGTGGAAATTCAACTGATGTGTGGGTGCCTGCCTATTTTTTTTCCTAATTTTGTGAATCCTCACTTGGACAGCAATAAAGTTTTTAGAAGTGAAGGAAAAAAGCTAGTGGCTAGAAAAGAGAGAGACAGTATTGGAAGATAACTTTTTTTTTTAGAGCAGAACTGATAAATGGGGTGAGGAGGAAAAGGGGAGGCAGCATATGACAAAGATGCAGAGAAAAGATAAATTGGCCTTTTGAGAAGGAAGAAAAATGCTTGGCAAAAATGAAGGGAGATAGTAAATTGCATTAAATGAATTTATGAAATAAAGGATTGATTGAAGTTGAAATTTCTAGGAAGGAGGGTTACTAGCAAGTCCTCAGTCTCTTCCTTACTCTTGTTAATTAAAAACAGACACAGAGCTTTGGTGTACCCAGACTATGCAACCCCTAATTAACTGCAGTTTTGTATGACAGACACCCTTATCTTTTTTCTTGATTTCTTTTTCCCCATTCCTTTTTGCACATCATTGATAATTGATAAAATGACATTTTGTTTTCCACTGACTTCCCAGCTCTGTCTGGTTGAATTTTTTTACATTTTGGATAGTTAGGCTGGAGGATCTTAAAAGGATCCTTAAAGGACCAAGTCTTGGTGCTTTGTTGTGGTGTGCTGCTTTGGCTGTTCACCAGGATGCAGTGATGTTTGTAGCTGTTTTATTGGATTGAAGTGTTTTGTCTAACATGGGAATGCTGGAATGAGTAGCTAATCCCTCTAAGTATGGTATTATAGGTCTAAAAGGAGTTTAAGTGGTTTGTATGCAGGACAGGAAGTTTAGCCCTTGCCTTTGCAGGTTTCTAGAAGCTTTTGGACCTCTAAGGGAACATACTAAACTCCATTAGAGAAACCTTTTCCACTTTTTTTTCTCTTAAAAATGATTTTCTGCCTGCATTCCCCTGCCACATCCAGTTTCATGCTTTTCACTGTGTGGCTGGGGCAGCAAGACACCTTTTTGGCAAATCATACTCTGTGAATTTATTAGAAACATGACCAAAGTCATCCCCTTTCTGAATAAGAAGGTTCACTTGGAGAGGGAGTCGTG